CATCCATTTTTGAACGTTCTATGTTACCTTATTTGTGGTTCGAGACATTAGTCCTCTCCGACACTTCTTCGATAGATTTAAATCTTATTTATTGACATAATGCGTTTTTCTTAATGTGGCTCTGGTTCCCTTACGGTTTGTGATATAATGTAAGCAAAGCTGGAGCTCATGTTATTCTTAGGTATTGGACGAGTTGGGCATCGAACTGTCTGATGGGCTCCATGGTTTGCCCACGATGGCGGGCACAATTGGGGGCCCTGAGGGAGCAGCCAATCGGGGTGAAGCTTTGCCTGTTCCTGCCGGTGCTGACCCCACTGCCTCTGCGGAAACAGACGAATTGGAGGCACGTTTACGCAACCTCAAGCGCTAGCCCCTTTTTTCCATCACCGCCTTTGGTTCTCTTGTAAAATAGACTCTATTGCACTCCCACATCCGCATACTCGCACGTTTATGTTTTCTTCACTTCCTCTCAGCTAATTAACGTATTTCAATGGTTATTCAGCAGATCATCTTTCTTAAGATACCAACTTTTTTCACACTACTCGGAGCGGAGTCTTGATAATCATTGCTCATTTTGAGAACTTAGAGAATCTAAGTGGATCTAGCTTGGCTACTTTGTTCATCATAAATGTTCAGCATTTGTTCTACTTAAGATTCGTAACAATATATGCAGCTTCTGGTTTCTCATGGTGTTTCGTTCATCGATCAACTTAGCGAATGGATGTGTTTTGTATCTGCACGGCAAACACTCGAAGGCATACCTATTCCAATTGGCTTTTGATAACTTCGTAACTAGCTGTATTGTGCTGTATGCAACATGGCAAAGAATGCTTTTGGTGGCTCGATTACGTATGTCTCTTTAAAGTCATCGGTCTACAGCGAATCATGGATAGTGTGGCTGTGATTGAATCAAATCAACAGTTCTAATGTTTGGAGATTTTTCATCTGTTCGTGAAACCAGTTCTGGCTTGAGTATTTACCTTAAAATCACGAATTTGTCTGTGAGGTAGCCTGTCTGCTAGCGACTATTTCTCGTCCTCGTTCTCATCTGCTTGGCAGTATCATCGCGGTTGTGGTGGTGACCGCAATGACAGAAATTCTCCATTTTTGAAGGGGCATTCGGCTTATTTGTTGGTGCAATTGAAAAAAAGCACTGTCTCCACCATCCGTTTTCATGCCATGCTACGATTCTACTTAGCTCAACAACAATTGGTACATTGAGACGGAAAAACATTACCACGTTGTTGGTGGTAATAGTGTGTGTCAAGCACACCAACTCATCTGAGGTTTTCGCAACAAAGTACGCTGTTGTAAGCTTCACATCAATTCTTTGAAAGAGAAATGCTGGCACTGGTATAGTACGTGGCTGTTTGTTTGACTCTTCATTTTGATGCTGAAGTATTTGAGAGCAGTAATTGTACCACCGCCTGACTTGAACTTGAGGTGATGTCAGTAATGTCTGGGCTCCCTGTACATCGAAATTATGCATCCTACCTTGGTGTCATGCCCCATTCCATCGTCAAGGAAGTCTACCAGCTCCAAGCTCTTATATAGGCACATCCAGCATGACTAAACTGCCTTGTAAGGTGTTTTTAGGAGTGATCGTTTTATTTTAAAACCGTTCCATTCAAAATTATTTTGTGCCGTAGTGCACATTTCTGCATGTTTCTGCATTTGACACAACACAATTTAGAAAAATTGCATTCCGATGAGTTTATCTACTGTCGCACGTGAGAATCACTAACGTTTTGATTCCACGTATGTTCTAGAGCTTTTATGACGAAGAACGCCCCCTCCTCTCAACACAAACCACACTAATTAGCTGGTTGCATCTTGGATGCGCCATGAAATTTAGACTTTAAGCTTCTCCATCAGAAATGGATCTTTGGAGTCTCCCCGCAACACGCAAACCAAGTCCCTTCTCGGGACTGTGAAAGGAGTTATCCAGACAACAGTCTCACGATGATCTTAACTGACGTGTCACCACCGCTTTACCGCAGACAGATTTAGATCAAATGAACTTCTAAATGGTTGGTAAAGTTAACTCAGTTTAAAGAGTCATGAATCCTAACAACGTAATGTACTTTCAGGCAAAAAATCACGCCAAGCTGAAATGGATTTCGGTTGTTGCCTTTTGTGTGTGGTACTTCAAATTTAACTACTTATATTCTACCCACCTTAAAGCCATTATAAGACAATCGACATGGTTGTATACTTAAGACCCTATCCCGCCTTGCATCACAGCTCCAAATCAACTACTTCATACTTTGCCAACTGGCATTTTCTCTTTATCTCTAGGCTATGCGCATTCCACTTATTTGCTAAAAGCGAATTCAAAATTACACTTATCTCGCCAACTTAGGTGATGCAATTATTATTCTGGCTTTGGGCAGTTCCTTCCTTATTCTTCCACACCCTTCGTGTTTGATTAGTGGTGGTCTTGAGATGCACCCACCGTACCGCCGGAACAATCGCCGTTCTCATTGGAAAAGTCAAGGCGAGGAGCTAAGTTTTATTGAGCATGCTTGCAGTCATCAACTTAAGCTGTGAGAGATCAATTGACATCTTAGTGATATGGGTACTCAGAAACAGAACCGCACCTTATGGAAGACTTTGAGGTAGCTTAAAACACCGAACTCAATAGCTAATCCTTTGGGGATCAGAAGACACTTGGTATTCTCCCTATTCAGACCACTTCTGATATCTGAAGATATCAACTGAGAACCGAATACTACAAAAAAACATTTTGTGCTGTTTAAGGCACCATCGCCTGAAGTCCCACATTCGAAAAGATTTTATGTTTGACCTGATTGAGAGGTGGGATTATTCTCGAACACTTCTCCGTATCAAAATCGTGCTGGGCGTAGAGTTGGTGACATGCAGGCTCCCCCTTAGGTCATTCTTCAGTGTGATTGGTTGATGCTATCCGATGTCACCGAAATTGGAGATCCAAGGTGGGGTCCACCTTCTTCGTATACCATTCGGGAGTTGCAGTCACTACCTCTACCTCACTCATAGAGTTAGCAAACTGCTTGTTGACGTCCCTGCATAGAAACCTCTGCAGCAATGCAAAGCTACGGAATGCTTAATCTTTGTGGAGACCGTTCCACCAAGGACACGTATTTCATATTGCTTGATTCAGTTACACCGTCTCCGTTATCCGTACACACTAGCCAAGAAATGAAACATATCTTAACCGTCGTGATGCACCTCAGAAGTTCATGAGAAATGGGGTGGTGCCAGGTGTACTGCGTCCGTGCCTACAGGCCATGAGTTCAGGTCTCCCACTTCCTCTCCCCATCATTTTCCACAAATGTCAACCACTGTTCATGCGCACGTAAGTATATATGAGAATCAATTTAGAACCGTCAGTTTGGACTGTTTTCTCAATAACAAAATGAAGTGAAAGAATGATAGAGAAGATGCAAATTATTTAAATCCTACAACACTAGTTAGAGACATCGGTAGTTTATAGTGAGAGAAGGATGGAAAGAATCGAGTCTCCTCGAGGTATCACAGAGTCAGCAAGCGACAGATGGGCAGATGTACGAAGGTGTGTACATTCATGCATCAGCGAGACTGCTCGTGCGAGCGATAGACATAGGCCCTTGGCCGCTGCAAGGCGGGCACGTGGTGGTTTTGCTGGGGTTGATGGTTGTGGTAGTCGGGCGCACAGACACCAGTGCCGCGAGTGGAGGCAAGCAGACCCACAGGGGTGGTGTCAGCACTCAAATGAGACTGGTAACAGCCACCTCTGGTGTGGCGGGAGTGAGGCATGGGCGCTACTGTCACTGTCGCCTGTGGTAGGCCGTAGTTGATCGCAGCAGCATCCTGGGGTTTTGGGATAGAAGTTTGCTTGCAGAGCACGTCATCCAGTCGAATCCGGTCCATTTCCAACGTTTCTGTTATGCACTCCTGCGAAATGGAATAGATGATACTTATTTTCCTTCTTTTTCTCCTCATCTCCATGATTTTCGTCGACACAAGCAGCTCTTCATCGCCATGATATCGACAACCTCCCAATTGATGACTTAAGGAAAACCCTTTGAATACCTGTTATCCCGGAGTAGTACACCAATATTGCCTCTATCGCGATAAAGGCTTGTGGTCGTATCAACCCAAGTTGTTACCTCGCTAATCCCCCTCCGCCCAAACTCATTTGATGCATCTTTGTGGCGTAGAGAAATTTACTTAACTCGAGAAAGAGGATTGGTGATTGGAAAGCAGTTCCTCTGACTGGTAAATCGAGGAGTAATGAAAAAATTGAAGACAAAAAAGTGTTTGCGATGCTTACGAAAAACAAAAACGGATGCATGAAGTTGCTCAGAATGCTTCAGTGATTGAATTAGTCAGCATTACAATCTATTTCCCTTTCTCAACAGACAACCCTGTCAGCTCTGTCTCCACGCACTCCGTCTCTTGACCAAGTAGGAATGCACTTTTCCAAATTGCTAATTTCCAATGCATCCCTTGAGTGAATTAATAGATGAGAACGTGGATATGAAAGCCGCTAAGCACACGGACTTAAATGCAACTAGATAATATGCTAACATTTCATTAAATGCGCTGAAGAAAATCATGGACTTTTGGAGAGCCACGGTTTGAAGTAGAGCCTCGTCAAGTAATTTGGATGCAAGCTGAGAGGAATAAGGAAACCAAGTTGATTATAAATGGTACAACTTAACCTGACTAAAAACACCGATTTTCACACGAAAGAGACGGAAAGTCAACCAACCTGAATGTCCTCCAGAAGCCGTAGTTTATCCGACTGTGTTTTTGCATTAAAACTAATCACCGGAGTACCACGTGATGATTCACTGGCAATCTTTTGACTGCCAGTACGCTTCGCTGATGCTGATGACAATGACGCCGAGCCCTTCTTCTTTTCGTCACTGTCACTGTTTAGAGCGGTGCTGGACTGATCCAAGTGATAAAGCGAGAAGCCATTCTCGTAATGCGATGTCTCGAAGGTGGTGACTCGGATTCCCAACAGGGTTATACAGGCGCGCACCTGATAGGTTGTGGTGGCGTTGGAGGATGAGGATGACTCCTTCCTACGCTTGCGGATAGCTTTAGTCACTAGGAGGAGATCGTTGAAGAGGAAAACGTCCCGTTGATGTGGTCCACTTCGATCACGTTTTGTCTTGTCTGGGACCTAGCGATAAAAATTCTACTTGAAAAGTCTCAGTAGACCGTCAACACCAATCAGCGGATCTTCGTGAAAATGATAAAAAGAGCCAAAGATGGAGACTGGTCCGAGGATGTGCATCCAACAAGTAAAATGCTGCGGAAGAAGTCCAACTGATAAGCCACTGTGATGACAGGATGACATAGTCCACGTCGTGGTTATACGGACGCAGAGTAGGCTTTCGGTTGGCAACTTGGCCTCCTAGTCACTCCGCACGTCCAGCGACATGCCACAAAAATTCCTACGCCTTTAGTAAATAACTTCGGCTGCGCTAATTTTTGATGCCAAGACTCAGAAAATTCGAATTTCAGTTGTACAATCAAAGATTGCCCACATGAAATGAGCGAAAAAGTTGACAGAGCTAAATGAAATTCGTTTAGCACTTTTGCGCTTCGATTCCAGGCATACACCAAATTCAGTTAAACTGGACCAAAAAGTGCTGAATTAAGTCTATTACTACATCCGTTGACTTGGAAAAGAAATCGAGATCGTACCCATGGTAAATCGTGTACTGCTTTTCGATAGACCAATCCTTTATTGCTAAGCCTTAAAAAGACGAATTTCAGACGTGTAACACCTCCGAGGTAGGCGTCGTTGATTCCTCTTCCCTCCAGTTATAGGCGGATACAGACCATCCATGTATCCGAGACTGCCTCCAAATTATATAATGTGATTAATCAAATGTTGAAATGAGGCGCCTGCACATCACCTTACTTCAGTCATCATTTCAGACAGAAAAGCACGGCATATAAAGCATTAATGACATTAACAATTATGCTGTGAATACGATCGGGCATTGCCGGCTTGTTGATTCGCAATGGCCAATGGCTTCCGGTAGTCAAAACGGTGATGAAATTGAGGCGCTGATTCGGCTTCCGTCTTGTTAGCTTTCCAGCACCTTCGACGCAGTCAACCGACGAGGTAAGAACAGAAATAGCGAGACTGTCCAATCAATTCCAGACTGCATTTGGAATATAACACAGTCTCAACAACTGCTGATAGAAAAGAGCTTTCCAATGGCCAATGAAAGTGGCATTTCAGTAAAGAGGCCAACACACCAGGACAATTTGTGAAACTAGCCAATCCGTTGGGCATGAAACGTGGGTACAACTTGACAGAATGATGTTTTAGAGTATAGGAGCGAATTCAAAATCCATCAAACTAGTAGATCCCGTAAATTAAAACCAACTCTCCCTAGATCGTGAAAAATGTTCACGCAGTGACTTATTAAACTTCTTCTCAAATGCCTGATGGAGAGGAAGAATGGAGGTACCTCATAGAGACGGCAGTAGCAGACTAGACGACGCTGAGGCAGGACAAGATTGGTAGGTCGCAGGGGTCCAGTGAGAAGGCGGTGAACACGACGAACCTGATCCGTGTGGTCCGGTGCCACCAGCATCTCGCCGGCCTGCATTCGATCAAATATGGCCAGCAACAGGTTCCTATCCAGGTCTTCACCTGCCAATTTAGCAAAACAGCTAAAAAACTTCTGAACTGCAGAGACCCACGTCACTGTTCACAAATCCTAGCACTTCACTCAGGAAGTATTGCAACCAAAAAAGTTCTCAGCACTGCTGAACCATCCTAGGACGACTTCTTCAAAACACCATCTCAGTACCCGACTTCCACTGATCTTGTCAAATTCTAAACGTTCGTAAATGAGTGTGTATTTCCGCGGAAAGACCCGCTCCTTGTGTAATTTTACGACAAGCGGTTATCCACAGGAGCAACCACTGTGAGCCATAAACCGAGATCTTCATTGACACCCCAACATACGACCGTCTCCGAGATGTCTGCCACACTTAAAAGTTCTACCGTGACCTTATTCACAAGACACCACACGCATCACTCCTATCCTATGTGCGGGCATTGTGACCACTGTCAGATGTTATCTTAACCAAGTGCTCGGACAGGACTGTCTTGGACCTCAAGTCTGAGTAACAAAGAACTAACTCGTGACCTGCACCTCTATGGCACGATTCACTTTTGATGACAAGTGAAAAAATAAAAACAATGAGGCCTTTGTTTGGCTTGAACAGACTCACACACAATGGCCCGAATTTGGATCAAGTCTATTCAGATGATAGCCAGTTTATGCATGCACATAATAATGCGATGTGATATGGAGTAACAACCCTTCGCCATGGGAATGAGTTGGGAGATTCAAGGCGACATCTCCTCTATGCAATTCCTTTATTTGATGGAGAATTCATTACTCTCACTTGCCCTATTACTTCCCAAACTATGCAAGCCACTTGCTGTGTTACAATTACAGATTTTCGCCTTGCCATTCCACTTCAGCTTCCTTAAGAGTGCAACTTTCCAACCAAGCAGAGGTCTACCATGCGTTATGCATTGACCCTCTTGGCAAGCAAACAATTGGTCAGTCACACTGGATGCTTTCAACAGTGAAAAAGAACGAGGACTAAGTGTGAACCAGAATTCCTTTAAATGCCTGAGGCTAGAGGGAGATCAACGCCTAAGAACCGCCAAAATAAAGTAGAAGAGAAAATATTGCAGGCATAGTGATAGGCATCGACCCTGTTTACCTCCCTCCTCCCCCATCCACGCCACTGTCTCTTCTCCCACCTTCTCGGTTTTCAAAACAACGTAAAAATACGCCTGCGCTCTGGTGATAATTTATGCAAACATGGAGAGGGCTCTCTCGCCTTCCCCATACGCGCCTCCGGAGCCGTAAAAGAAAACAATTTGGCACCAATATTTGTTCTTTCACACGAATCGCGAAGTTTGTACGCCTTGCACAGTGGGGAGTGAGAAAAGAGAATCAGAGCAAATTGTAAACACGCATTAAAACGAGTTGATAAATGTGACCGGTGTTGTAATAGCTGTGCTTCCTTCCATCCAAGCATCACGCACTCGTCCATAAGCTTCAGGGAATTCGCAAAAAGGTAATTTTCCTCCCTCCTGTATCCCCAAAGTATCACCAACAGTAACAAACACAATCACAACGAAAAGAGACGCCCCTTCAACGGCCCTAATTGGGGCTCTTTAGTAAATTTGAACCATGGCAAATCATTCAGACAATTTGATAGTGAAATTACAATCCTCAGAGACGGCAGGAGATAGTTAAGGCCCACCTCCAAATTTTATTGCGATCTTAAATGCAGTGGAAAGCACACACCGGGACAGTCACTGTGACCCCACCGCGCATAAATTGCCCAATGTCTGGAGGCATTAATCACTGCACATCGGCATTTGTGTCATCTTTCAAGTCACTAAAACATCCAACAGCTATAGGCCCACTGCGTCTGTGTGGAAATGTGCCTCATTTTCAACTGCAAATGAACAATTGTTCCAGACCCAAGCATCGAAAATCAGGAAGTCACAGGTCACTGCAGCAAACACCGGTCAGCCGTGTCGGCTTCGCAGGCGCGCCTGTCTGGGTGATGGAGTTGGTGGTGGTGGTGGTAGCTGGGCGGATGTGGTAGGTGCATGACTAATCCGCCCACCTTGTCTCCTATGCTGGCAGCCCTGGTGTCTAGGTCATGAGCGTCGTTAAGCCTTAACTGGGATTCAATTACCCTGCTCCAGTCGTCTCCGTATTCCTAACAAATTTGCTATACATCGGGAAAGTGCGGGTGCGGAAGGAGGGGAACCGCGGCAGTTGTGAGAAGAAGTAGTTTTAGAAATGAGTTTCGCAATGTAGGTTGAGGGTTTACATGTGAAAATGCAAACATGAGCGAGTATCCTACGTGTAGACATGCGCTACCCCAACCAAAAATAGCAAAAGCTCTCCTGAAAAAGAGGATAACTGCTGGATCGGTGTCTAGTTGGATGCTGGCCAATGTTGTGATGATGTTGCCTGCCTGCCACGATCTACTGAGCAATAAAGCATCATTTGAGATGAATGGGATGATGCAGGTTCCGACAAATGGACGCCATATCAAAAGGTCATGGGAGAGGGAGTTTACAGTGTAGGATATAAGTGATGAAGAGGTGAATCAAACCGCAACTGAAAACAGCCAAATAGACCAAAGAAACTATCCCAATCGGGTTCCGAAGGGTCATCCAAGTGGTAAGAAAGGGAACCACTGTTCCCACGAAAGGCATTAATGGATTTGCCAAGCTCACATTCAGACTTGAGAGGGTTTGTAATGCAATCATGTAACAACCACTTCTACCACTTTCAGCATATAAAGCTGAAAATTAATTGTATGGTCTACAACAGGTGATGGATGTTAAACCGCATTTTAATACTTGGACTTCTTTTAGTATACATCTTAGGCAAAAGGCTGAAAAGTGGCTCAAACCTCGGTGCTTGAGCTTGTCATCCAACCTCCAGGGAAACTGCTCGCCTTGTCGTTACTCTAAGGGTGCTTTGATCCTCTTTTGCCGGGGACAATAGACTCCACTAAGCAATCACTCCTCTCGTGCCTAGGGTAGTTCCGGGGAAAAGGAGGTGACTGAGGCTACTACTACACCCATCATTCACATGAGAGCTTGAAAAAGGAACAAGATTATCAGCATGTGGGGTGAATGAGTCTAAGGAAATGATGGGATGCGATAGACACACCCAGCACCATTTGTGTGATTAATGAATGTCAGCTCAAAAAATTCGCTTTGAAAATAGAAACTAAGACAAATTTGTTAAACGGCACGGCGTTCCCATTCCTGTTCCCAGTGCTAATCAAATCTATTTGGGTTGAACCGATGGAGAGGGTTAAATGACTGAGTTTCCCACGTGGACAGAAAGAACGGGAATTCGTTTGTCACCAATGCGTGAGATTTGTGTCACCCAAAGCGACGCCTAAAATGCCACTTTTGGCTCATCGAGGGTAGACAGATGTTGACACCTTCTTCAGCGTGTAGAACGGATTTGGCAATTCGAGACCAATTCGAGTGGCAAAAAATCACCAACTTTTTATTGACTTTTTTTTCCATTTGACACTAAACCAAAACGAAGTCAGCTACCGAAATCAGCACAAATTTTAGCCATTTTTATGAGGCCACAAATGGCGAATTTTTAGCATCACTTAAAACACACTAGGAATAGAAGAGACAGTTCTGTGACCTCCTCTAAAACTTCCTTTGCTTCTTCGTAAGCCATCCAGTTAACACTACCAAATCGTCTTTATTCGGTATTAATCCAACCAAAAGAGTCCAACTTCTCGGGAGTTTTTGGGGAGTTAGAATTTTGACATACAAAGACCGGTCATATGTGCGTAAAGAGAAAAGAATCGCCTCCGCAGCTAGGTCAACATGATTCCCAGAAAAAATGGGCAATTTATCACAATGCGGTGCTAGGCTTAAGGGATTATGGGATGTTTGAAATTCCGTTGCAAGCAGATATGATTTACCTCCTACATCGCCTACAAGTTCACTGCAATCAGCTAATGCATCAAGTTGATAGTAGCAATCAAGATTGATCGAAGAGGCTTAGAGCGTGATTCGCTCGACCACGCATACTCCGCATTCCTTCCTTTGAGATGATAAATCTCATTCGCCCTCTCCTCCCCCTGCCCCCATTGGGCACAGCTAAAATGAATCAGAGGAGCCTGAGTGGCTTGCCTGGCTAAGTTGTAGCCTCAGAAAGGGGGAAATGCGAAAAACAGAGGATTGACAGTGAAGTCTAGAGGAAAGGTAGAATAATAGCGTACCGTCATCAATGCCACGGAGGTTGTTAACAAAGTCCTCCCGAGTCATTTTAGAGCCAGGTCGCACATTGGGGCTGTACATGTCGGTGTGAAGCATGATGATGGCGTAAGCGAGGATCATCACCGACTCAGGGTTGCGGAACTGCGCCTTCACACGAGCCGAGTTCTGCTCTACGTAGGCTAATTGAAAGGCTGTCATGAGATGCACTATCTTCTGCGACTCTCCCTGTGACGCACATCAGCAAATGAGTGAGCGAAGAGGCAGATAAACGGATGATAAAAAAGATGAACACTTACGGGAGTGCGGAACAGTGACATCATGAGCCTCAACGCTTCGTCAATCTCCTTCTCCCGAAAGTCCACTTGCCTGATGAATTGGCTAGGGTTAGACAGGTGAAGATTCCAGTAAGCTAAGTGTTTATCGCCAGCACCTGTGATAAACTTTCAGGTCTTACGTGCATAAATTCGAGGCCGCACTCGACAGGTACTGAATGCAGACTCTTATAGAGGTAGTAACGTATACAGTACACGAATTGCCAAAGTAGCAGGCACTTCAAACCCTCTCGAACGGGTCTGCCTGATCGCACAGTCAAGTAAATCACAGACCACCTTTTACCTTTGACCGAAATTCCAGACTAGTGATTACCAGTTCTATCCAAAAGATATTCCACAAGGTCTTATAGTATATTTGTCAGTCCAGGTACTTGTGGTATGTACACAAAAGTTAGTTAATGAGTGTGATTACGACAGCTCATACGGGAAGTGAGTGTGATTTATGTCTACAACTAAAGAAACCTAGTCACCCCGCTGACTCGGCATAGCGGCGATGACTAGTTCCTTAGTGGATAACTCCAAATTTCGTATTAGGGAGGTCACGCCTAAAAATAGGCAGCCAATTTCTGAACAGAAGAAATTAAAATAAGCATGACCTTAGGATTTTATTGCAGACCTGCTGAACGCAACCAAATCGTTGCCAAATGCAAATGAGGACACAACGTTGCCGCCAAAGGGCGAGTCGGGTGTTTAATTTCGTGATTTCGTGAGAATAATAAGGCGATTTCAAAGACAATCGGTAGACAATAGAGAATCCTACGCTAATCGCTGGAGTAAAAGATAAGAACAGACCAAAACAGCACACGCTGTGGCCTAATAATGACGCCTCTATCATGCGTTATGCACGTAGCGTGGTTGCTAGCAATAAGAGGACTAAGAGTGGACGGTTAAGAACTCAATAATAAGAGAAGTTTGGAGCTGTACCACCTCGTATAACAAATAGACTTTGATGACCCCTCTGGTACCTACCGTTTGTTTACCATTGCGCCAAATGAAATGCAACATCCACTCCTGACCTTTGATAAACAATGCACTCGTGTGTGATCAAGGCAACAAAAGGCCAAATACGCACTTACCGAGCCGTTGCAACACACAGATCATGTTTCATTTCTCCCAAGTACTCCCCAATCGCAGTACGAGCCAATCCCCTGCGGATGTGCAAGAAACGTGCTATCTGACGCGGAGATGCTTCAAGAAACCGGAACCTAATTAGCATGTCCATACCCTTCACCGGCGACCTGGAGGAGGAGTGAACTCAAACACGCAACCTTTCCTCATCAATAAAAAAGACAAGTTGCAGGATGCTTACTTGTTGAAATAGTTCAAGCATACTCGGTAGAGGCGTTTTCGGCACCTGTCTGCAACCGCCGCACTAGTGACAGGAGTTCTCGAACTCACCGGCACTACATTGGCCGCCGAAGCAACACCAGCAGAAGGGGCAGCAGAGTGATGATGGAGCTGCAAGAGAACCGGCGAATTCCCCAAAGCCCCACCATTGCCCTCCCTTCGAATCGGAGCTACGACTATTGGCTGACGAGAGGGAGGCGAGACAACCAGGGTCGTCGCCGGTTGTTCTGCATAGGCCAGAGTATACATCTTCCCATCGGGAGTGCACCATACAGGTGCCTGCACCGAGTTCGAACCTGTGCTGCAGCGACGAACTAGCACTGCAGCCGCTGTTGCTGGTTGAGTCAGGTATCGTTGCTGTTGCTGGGACTGATGTTGAGGTGCTATATTAATGTACTGTTGGTCCGATCTTACGGGAACTGCTACATAAAGTTGTTGAGCTTGCTGATGCACGCGTTGTTCCTCCCCCCTATCCACGACATAATACACAAGCGACTGTTGAGTCTGGTGCTCCGATGGCTGTCTTGTGACTTGCGCATTAGATGGTGCATTTTCGGTCGGCAAAGAGCCAGAGGAACACGACCCTGGGGAAGAGACAAAACCAGAGGTAGAACCGGTTCCTGTCCCAGGACTGGAAGGTTGCGGTGGGTGGTGGCCCTTCGGTGCAGTTAGATTGGAACAGGAGTGCGATGAAACCTCACCAGACTCAGGTGACTCAGTTGTTCCTGATGGAGCAGACGAGCGACTGCCCTTCGCCTCTACTGTGAGGTCGGGAATGGAGCCACCTCCTGGACTACCCGCAGCCTCACTTTCCCAGTCCAGATAGGCTCGATCAATTACGAGATCCTCCATACTTGCCAAGTGTTGTGCTTCACGCTGATCCTCAGGGTAGTAGCTATTCAGTCCGTTGGTCAGTCGGTTGGTCAGCCGTCGGTCTGATCTCAGTTGAGCGTACTGGGCACGCATACGATACTCGCGATACTTGCGCTGAATAATGCGGGCAGCGCGTTGAGCTCTCAACCTCCCTCCATAGCAGCGTTCCATTAGGTCCACCTCCTTTGCGCGCAGATCGTCTGAGAGTTCATAAGTGTTTGTGTCTATGATTCCTGGCCGAATTGTGGACGCCCGATGGGGATCACAGTGGTTTCTGGGGTGCAGAGTGAGGGCGCGAAACTGGTCGTTGAGAGTAGCAGACTTAGCGGTGGACTGGTGTTGCTGTAAGGCATCGATTCGAGAGGCGACAGCGCTGCCGGAGCGAGAATTATTGCCCCCCTGAAATCTTTGAGGCGCTTGTTGCCATCTTGACAGGTGGGGAGGATCGTATGGAAGGTTGGACATTGGAGGAGGAATAGCGATCAATGAGGGCTCCTTATTCATATGCTCAGTGCTCAGAGAGAGAGCCCGAGTCGAACCCAACGTGGAACGGTTGCTGTGCATTGAGGGTATCCTGGATAGAGACAAACAGTGGGAAATGGGTTATTTACCTTTCGCTTGATTTCTACTACTATCTGCTCTTCCCTCGCCCTGAGGAAGTCAAGTGAATGCAGGTGATTGGTCCGTAGGAAACACAGGTTATCACCTGATTGGTGGATAGAGACGTTTTCGAGAAAGAGGAGATGTGTTATGGTCAATTAGGCTTTGCTGCTGCAACAATTCTCGAACAGACCTAGATCATACTCCTTTACTGCTCCCAAACCAAACCAGTGTGCATGGACTCTCCACTTTTACAAATGTGTGAGCAAATTAGTGACATCGGATTTTCAAAGGCATACATTACTGAACTGAAAGGAGTGCGAGAACCCGAAACCACCAAGTTGCTCACTATTGTCTCGGGAAATGGACAATCATGACCCAAGAATATTAATGTTTTTGTTATTGTCACTTCTCCAATGGTTGCTCACCAACTACGAGTATAACTGCCATTCAAATCAAAAAATCATTATGCATAAATTTTGCTGTTTATGGTTAGCAAAATTACATACCGAAGTGAGGCGATGATGCAGGAAAATACAATCCACTATACAAGAGTGATGTCGTTGACCACAAGGAGATCGAACCCCTGCCAGAGGACAAAGAGGCACCTCGAATGCGAGCACGTGCGAGAACGTTTGAGGAAGCGAAGTCTCGAAGACAGAGCAAATTTATAAATGTGCGCAAGCGCATTCATCCACGCACACACAACTGTCCCGCCTAGCCAACTTGCGCAGCACCTATTGGTTAGGGAATATTTAAAGTACGCTGCAGGTTTCATTAAGCATGCAGGACTCTGATTCGTCAGTGTGTTCTAGGTCGATGCTTAAATTCACCAATCATGCAAGAATGAATTGTGACTCAACCAATGGGCATTAAGTCTCTTCAACAGTGAGTCACTGTCAGCTGATTAGTCCAATGGTGTCGCAAAATGCGCATTATGGTATGGGTGGCCGGGTGGGCTCCAAATGGGGCGCTGCTTTTGTCTAGTACGGCTGATGTTGCTTCTGAATTTTCGGACCTTTCAAGATGATGCGTAAATTGACTCAGGTGCTTATTTGGTGTGAGCTGGTTCGCATTTTGGGGGAGATGTGCCGATTGCGTTCAAAATTTGAGTTGATGCAGGTGTCACTGGTTCGCCCCTTTGCGAAGTTGTTACTGTTAAGACTAGTGTTCAGTCCTTCTACACTATTGACCTCGATTTAATGTAGGAGGTCCAGACCAGCTTCTACATTTTTACCATAGCGCATCGTGTGCTACAACTCGCACACGTGCTGCTTGACCTCTCGGGTCATAACCATCCTCATAAACCATTTTTGGGGTTTCTCTGATTCTTCATCTTAGTCAAGTATTCACGCTGGTCACCCTTTTGTGGCAGCATTTGGGATGATATCTAAACGGTCTGAGAATGAGTAATCTTTTTGGAATAAGAATTAAGAACATGTCATGATGCCTGAATAAAGGACCACCCTGAGCTGTGGGTGGACGTTTGCGCACTTGCGTGGACTACCTGGTTTGAAGATTACTCAACGTTCTGTACAGGCAATTGAACGCCCCAATTTGGCATTATTAAAATTATTTATCACTGGTCAATTTCATAGGCGATGCCTCTTCGCTCCTCTGAGTCTGCAAGTTGCACGTACACGACACCTTTGGTTAGCAAGCGATGAAGTTGGTCGAAATGGTTAAGCTCGATGGATGGAGTATCTATCGTCCAGCCTCCAGGGTGATAAACATGCTACCTAGAGGCAAGCCATTGTAGACGCACCAACTCCTTGCCGGGTTTCAGTAGGGTGGAGGGCGATAGGGCGGATGTGGAACGCACCACTCCATTTGCACATGTTGTCCAAAGATAAGATGTAGCTTGTTGCATCCATGATTATAGAATCTATCACTAAGTAACCTTGACTTCGACATTTTCTACCTTAACAAAATCCATTCCCCAAAGTAAGTGTTGAAGTGTAGTCTGCCATTGAGACAAGGACGCGACCATGGGATCAACAGTGGTATGAGTATTTGAAATTTTAGTTGACACACGTACCATACTCTAACGACAGTGTAGAGATTTTCAGCTCCACTCTCAACAATATTAACAACTCGAAAAAATGTGTTCATGTGTTAACTTCTGTTTTAAGCCGCCTCATCATCCTGCCTCTCCTCGTGTCATACTGCAGAACGGCATGTTTTGTCGAGAGCGCTAACGGACTTAAATTGACACTTGGTTGCAGACAGGGCAGAAAGAATGGGACAAAATGAGGATGAATGTGAAGCAGATGTCGTTCACCACTCAATGAATCTGTTAGTGCTACCTTTTCGAACAGCCTCGCCCTGATGCATCATGGTGGACCGTTTTGGCTGCTAGCACAGACTGGTGGTGAATTCGTTGTCAAAAGGGGAGTAATTTACTACGATTATTGGCAGAACTTTTGTCGTTCAGATATACAAAGCACTTTTTTAAGCTTAAATCGGAATGTTAGACAATCGGTAAACAGATTACATGTAAACTGAATGCTGTGGACGGGAACACGGTCGGAACTCTGCAATTCTATTAACTCTAATAAGTACTTAATTAACTTGTTTTTAATGGAAATATGGATTATCAACAAGTGGATAAGGAATTTTAAGGTGAGCGTTTATTTTTAATGCCTTAATTTGGTCACCAAATTTCGACAAACATGAAACATCCCCCTGAGGCCTGGGTACGGCATTTAATAAAGGCTGTTATTGTCTTATTCCAACATGATCGGTCTTCTTCAACAGAGCTTACTACCCTTTTTCGGGAATGCATTTATCCCATCTAATAACGTAAAACTTGTGGATCTGGCCTACCGTAGTAACCGGCGTAGGTAAACGCGACTCCGGAAAGCCACACCCCGATGATGCAGGACCTGCAATATTTAAACCGATGCGGTCAGCTTTGTGCTTGGCCAGACTAAAGCCTTAACATAAAACGAACGAGCAAATCGGTTACGAATGAAAATAAAATGAGTCCAACAGCCAACTGAGCCCATGATCAGCCGAATATAGGTTCTCCAGTGTGGTCATCATCCCCTCCTACTTACACCTGTTTGTCCAACCTTTTACCAATCTAGCAACTATGCAGAATGGCATTCAATTTTTTATGCATGTGACTCCAGACACCACTTGTTTGTCACAAAGTCATAAGCTTAACCCAGGCTTCTGTTCAATGAGCCGATTCAATTATCACTTCTCTCGTTTCCTCCCTCCGACTCTTCTCTCTTCGACCCCAATGCCACAATTACTTGTGTGATAAACAAAGGTGATGAATTTTATTGCGGTGTTCGAAGCCTTGAGTCATGTTCAATGGTCGAAGATCTATGATTTGCCAACTTTTGTTTGGCAATTTTACTTGGACACAGTACACTGGAGGATTGTTGTAAATGCCGGGCGCATGGGGGGGACAACTCAGGCATTCTCACGTCTTCGAGGCACATTTAATAAGTCAGACAAGTCTTCGAAACCATGCGACTGTGAAATTTTATATCGTTCCAATTTGAAGTGTGGGAAATGGGGCAACCTGTCACCATGGCAGCCTTACAATGGGCATGGGGATCGAATGGCAGTGATGTCAAGTCGCGCAGGCATTTTCGATGAAGAGGGAACGCGAACATGCAAACCGACCGAAGTCCACTTTTAATTGCCAATGTTCGGGAATTGGGAGGTTGCTATAAATAGAACTTCTGGACATTAATCCACTAATGCACATCTACTTAATGCTTGACCATTATGTTCTACCTAACAACCGTCACTCCTCAAGTCCTCTCACCCACTTCAGGCAGTAAATGGCAAAATGAATGCATTTTGAAGCGGTTATAAACCGCTCTTGAACTTTCTTACTCACCTGTCCTACAACAATACTTAGGTGTTTACGGCTGTTTCAGCCAAGTTCGTAGGTTCATCCACAGAGCACCACCATAATTGTCATGCAAGATGAGATTCTGTCCTGAGGTGGAACTTGAGCCGTAAACTACGTTCAGTTTTTACTCACAGTTGCTGCCTGACAGTGTTGATATCACTCACCGCGTCAGCATTCTTGACCTCCCAGCTGCCAACGTCTGTATGAACCAACAGAGCGGCCGACTTTTCCTCCATATCCCATTCTGGA